TATATATATATATATATATATATATATATATATAAAATTGTTTTAATATTTAATATATTTATTTTACAAAAATATATACTTTTTTGTGTTCCACAGAGAAAACCAAGAGCATACGGATTTGAAACAGTGTGAGGGTGAGTAAATAATTACAATTATTATTTTTTGTTGAACTAGAGCTGATTTTGAGTCGCTTGGGTGTTTAATATCAGATCGGTTCCTGACACTGATCAGTAGATGGCACACACAGCATCTCAGTCTCTCAGACACTCACCCGTCGAGACAGTCGTCAAACCTCTCTGTGGCTCTGAAGCCGATGATGGAGTAGATCACGATGGCCGCGTAAATAGACGTCAGGCCGTTTATTATGGAGATGATGACGGCGTCCTGCTCGCAGTTATTACTGCAGACACACAGTGGAGCAGTTATTAAAATCATTATACCGAGCAAAGTCTCAGCAGCTGTCAAAGGCTGGAGTTACTGACTGGACTGAGTTGTAGCTGGAGAACGAGATGAGTCCTCCAAACGCCAGAGAGAAGGAGTAAAACACCTGCGCTCCTGCGTCCAGCCACGTGCTTGGGTTTAGCAGCTCGTCCAGCTACACAAATACATCAGCAGAGTTGGGAAGGTGACTTTGGAAATGTAACAGGTTACAGATTACAAGTTACCCTGTTTAAAATGTAGTAAGTAGTGTAACTATTTCAGTTACTTTATTAATGTAATGTAACTGATTACATTTGATTACTTTTCTAAATTTCTAACGAATGTTTTCAACTGTTAATCATTTTGAAACATTTAAAGCAGGCAGGGTTAACCTTACAGTAACACTCAACACTGACTACTGCCAGACTTTCAGAATCCTTCATCGCTTGAATTAAGGTTGTAATAATTAAAGCATTAAGCCCCAAGAAGCCGTGGTTTACAGTGAATTTATAACAGCTAAGGGGCGTTGTTAGGTACGACGCGAAGCGGAGCTAAACCCTCTTAGCTGTTATAAATTCACTGTAAACCACGGCTTCACGGGGCTTATTGCTTTTATAAAACGGTTATTCCATATACGTAGCAAGGTTTCTCAGAATAAAACAGAGCAAATAAAGTGTAATGAACAGTATTCTTCCACCAAACAATGTAGCTCCTCAGAAACAGTTGTGGTTGCAACAAAGTGGTTGCCGAGCAACAAACAAACGTAAACAAAGGTGTGTGTTACTTTGTAGAGTAATTTACAACAGCTTCGAACGCGGCTCAGCCAATCAGAATCAAGCACCGGAACTCTCCGTTTTAAAATTAATTTTAAAGCACAGCCACCACAATACTTTAGCACCTTTAATACCTTTTACATTGAGATTGGTCTGAGGGCAAATACAGATTTAATATCATAACAAGAAATAGGTTAAATAGCTATGATACTTTAAAAAAAAATCTAATTTTTGCATAGCTATGACAGGAAACACTGGCATCTAACAATGCCTTAGGGAAGAAAAAAAACAGTTAATCTTAAAAAATAAAGCATATACTGTACATAAACAGATAGAAGAGTTACTGAATAAGCATGTGTCCTATTCTCTGCTATGATACTTAAAAAAAAAATCTAATTTTTGCATAGCTATGACAGGAAACACCGGCATCTAACAATGCCTTAGGGAAGAAAAAAAACAGTTAATCTTAAAAAATAAAGCATATACTGTACATAAACAGATAGAAGAGTTACTGAATAAGCATGTGTCCTATTCTCTGTCCTAAACTCCTGAAACATCTGTGTCTCATATTTTAAAGCAGTCAATGCAATTTGCGAAAGAAATCAATCAAATCTGTATGTGTGTAAAAATATTCAGATGTAACTCCCTTTGTAATCATTAACATTTTCATAAGTAACTGTAATTTAATTACACATTTTTTTCTCAGTAACTATAACTGATTACAGTTACATTTATTTTGTAATTAAATTGCGTAATTCCGTTACATGTAACTAGTTACTCTCCAGCACTGTACATCGTCATATATCATCACATTATTAGCAGAGCTGGGTAGGTTACTTGCAAATTGTAGTCTGTTACTGATTCCAAATTACATGACAAAAACTGTAGTTAGTAACGTAATCCATTACATTACACATTTTAGGGTAGATTACTTTTAGATTACTTTCAGATTACTTTTAAAGTAACTCGTTTATCACTATTTAAATAGGATAATGTTGCACGTACCACACTGATATTAAAATGCAAAGAAAATATATTCCATTTGTTGTTATTAACAACATAAAGTGAATTATGCGTTACATTATGTCAAGGTTTTCCAAACTGGGGTTCGTGAAGGAACTGCAGGGGTTTGCGATTTTAATGAAAAGCTAATTAATTAAGTCATAAAATTTGAAATTAAAATAAATCATTTAAAAATAACTTAAATCAAAATAAAACACTTGCTAAAAAATTTTATGTTTTGTTTACCTGCATGTCATGTAGGCATTTTAGTAAGTAAAAGAATTAGGGAGAATCAATAAATTATGAATAATTTATTGCTATTGTGTGAATATATGCAATCAAGTAATCAATAAAAAGTAACTGTAGTCTGATTACGAGTGTTTTAAAATGTAATCTAATCTAATCTGATTACATAATCCAGATTACATGTAATCAGTTACTACCCAGCTCTGATTATTACATATATTTATTATATATTACATACATGTCGGTCCGTGACAGTCTAGCACAAGTTGCGCACTTTCGCAAAAACTCCTGCTATAATCACTGAAGGTGCGAAATGAATCTCTTAATTACATCTCGACCATTCTTCGATGTAGAGGGCTTCAATGGGATGCAGTGATATCCAAAGCAAATCTCGTGGGAGCGGGCGATCAGAAAATATAGCAAATTATAGCATAACAAGAATGACAGAGTTGCGGTAGGCGGTGTTACACTGTGTTTGGTTGCGCACCGATTACATTATTTGCCCACTGCAGCACCGCCCTCACTGGCGTTTTGATTTTTTTTATGGAAATAAAAATCATTTAGTTGAGCTGGAAATCGTACGCTACAATTCTAAACTAAAAGCATCTGCCCTGCTCCATACAGCCAGGGTTGCCAGGTCTGCGTGACAAAACTAGCCTATGCCAGTCAAAAACAGGCCAAAGTAGCGCAATGACAATTTTCCAAATATCAAAACTCATTTCCATACCTAAAATACATAGTTTGCAGTCACTGTTATGCACATTGATCATAAACACAGCTCAAAGGCTTCCTACCAATGGCCCTCCTTCAAAAAGCGTAACATGGTAGAAATGTAAAATATTTCAATACAAGCATGTCAGTCAAATGCAATATTTCAAACCTATAACCCACGGGGAGGGGGAAATCTCCTTAAATGGCAACAGTTTAAAAGTAGCCCAATTCCGTGAAAAAATAAATAAAACGCTGACTTGGCAACCTTGCATCCAACACGAGCTGCAGGAGTCAGATTTGACTGATCTCAGGTGGAGAGTAATGAGAGATGACTGACAGATCATGCTGGAGGATTTGCTGCTCGACAGATCCTGAGCTCACTGACAAATATCTGATCTTGTAAGATGTGCTCCTTCACACAGAGTGCGTGTGACCGCCAAATCGAAAGGGAAAGTGAACAGCGAGCGCTCATTCAAAAGCGATTTCAATACCCCCAAAACTGATAGCGCGAAAATGATATACAATATTAGAATGTTTGCGGGAGCGGGTGCAATAAACGCCTCTGATTGGCCATTGTGTTCAACAGAATAAGCTCTTACCAGGCTCAACACTGCCAAAAAAAATGCGTAAAAAGAAACCTGATGCGATGATCTGAATGTAATGCCGCGAAATAACACTTCTTGCCTCTTAACCTGTGGGGCATTTTGCCGCAAGCCCCTGTTAATTTCCGACCCCGCCCTGCAGTCTCATCTGTATTCTGCTGGAAATGTCATTCATGATTTAATTTTTTGTCTTAAACTTTAGGTTAATGTTGACCAGTGGTAAACTTTGTGAACTATTAACGCGGTTTTAGAAAGGCTGCATCACCTACACAAAAACCTAAACAATGTCTATATAAATATTAGACTTGGTTAATATATAAAGGAATGGTTTAACCAAATATAAAATATACTCTGTCGTTCCAAACCTGTACGAGTATCTCTCTTCTAATGAACACTGAAAAGGTATTTTGAAAAATTGTGGTATTTAAACATTTTCAGGACCCAATGACTTCCATATTATGGACAAAAAATACTGTGGAAGTCAATAGGATCCGAAATTGTTTGGTTTCCAACCTTCTTCAAAATATCTTGTTTTGTGGAGTTTCATTTTGGGTTTGATTATATATGTGTCTTTCACATATATAATTCTATTCCTTTTAAGAAAACAGTCAAATAATGAAAGTAAAATAGTTAAATTTGAATTCAGGAAGACTTTAAGGTGCTTTTTTTGCTCCTTCTTGAGTTTGACGGCTGTCATATAACATCTGTACTTTTCCGTGAAGATGTTTTGATGGCGTTATGAAGAGGAGAGGATGGCAGATTTCCTCTTTCTGAACATGCATGACTTCTTTCTTCTCGACAGAACGTCTGAGCTGCGTAAAGTGAAGTCAGCTGGATGTGTTTGTGTCAGACTTACATCTGGTGTGAAGAGGAACTTGATTCCGCTGACGGAGCCTTTGAGCGTCAGTCCTCTGATCAGGAAGATGGTCAGAACCAGGTACGGCAGCGTGGAGGTCACGTACACGGCCTGACCAGATAGAAACCAGACCAGATAATATTCAATATTGATATATAAATATATTTGAAGTGGATCAAAAAAGTTCATCAAAGTTGTCCTAAGACAAGAACACATTTTGGTTTTAGGTTTATATATCTCAAATCTATAACAAAATACAGTAAATACATTCATAAGTCATCCCAAATTCATATACAACTATATCAACAAAATATATCAACAATATATACATATACACCAAATAATAATCTCATGACTCCAACAATAATTCTTAACATCCGTTTTTATGTATACAATCAATAAACATCATACCCAAGTACTCTTCGAGTCCCCCATATATATCATTAAATTATTTTAAAAAACAATTCAAAGACAAATCTTCATTCATACCCAGAGGGTGTAGACTTTTAAGATAAAAAATTTAATTATATATATGGGGGACTCGAAGAGTACTTGGGTATGATGTTTATTGATTGTATACATAAAAACGGATGTTAAGAATTATTGTTGGAGTCATGAGATTATTATTTGGTGTATATGTATATATTGTTGATATATTTTGTTGATATAGTTGTATATGAATTTGGGATGACTTATGAATGTATTTACTGTATTTTGTTATAGATTTGAGATATATGTGTATTTGTTTAAAAGATCTTCGTGATACTAGGGGTATTACGGTAATACATGTTTTAATGAGCGCAGGTGTTGCTCGGTAGCACATGGCACTGAGGAAGGGTTAATACCCAGAAACGTTCTGCACTTGCACTTTTGCACATCTTTCTACATATTTTTGTGACCTCTGAACAATAAATGGTATAAGCTTTTTTAGCTGCATTTGGAGGTATATATATATATATATATATAGAGTATACAATGTGTTTATATTATGTAATAATTATACATAAACTGAAAAGTATTCTCATGTATTTATTTGAAATTAATTTACCAAATTTCATACATTAATAAAAAAAATATTATTAAATGCAAATATCAAAATTAGATTAGACAGCAAGAAAGATTGAGAAATGCAGATAAGAAAAACGAACTAAAACGTACTGTTGTTTAGGAACCATTGTATAGTAAGAGTTTGGTAAATGTGCTTCAGTGTAATGAAAACAATGTCACAATGCAACAAATCTGAATGATTTTAAGAACAGACTTCACTTTCTTCATGCAAATTGTAATTTCATATTTTCTTTTAATTTTGGGATGAAATGAGAGCTTGAAATTCCCTTTCCTGTTCTTACAGTTGCATCCTATAGTTTACCAGAAAAGTGTCTGTTATCAAGGATGCCATTACAGCCATTAATCACTGTGATATCTTTACAGCGGCCCGAATCTCACTGCCCTTTGTGCTCTTTATATAATAGTGTAAAAAATAAGCAGCGATTGTATCGGTTTCCTCCGATTATCAGTTTTATGAGTTTTATCTTGTCTTGGCCAAAACTAGCAGGCTGTTTTTAACCATAACGTCAGTCTGTGCGCTAGCTAATGCTTAACCAGAACAGCCACACCCAGATATCTGGCCTTGGGTTAACCTTGGCTTATCTTGTTCCGTGTGATGCACTGCTCATATGTTACTGAAGGTTAGTAATTAATTTGGGATAGGCAGGTTTCGAGATTTCACATTGGGTTAATGTTCTTGTATATTTACAAGGTTATTAACGCAGCTGCACGTGGTCATGCTGTTAAGTCACTCCTCTAACAAATAACTGTCTTTTATGACAGATTTGATGTCACTGATTGACAGCTGAGAGTCTGCACCTGTTTTGGAGCAGTAAAAAAAAAAAAAAGTGAGGAACGTCAAATTAACCCTAATTGGATTCAATATAGTTCCCTTAACCCTTAACATTAACACTTCTCACACATTACAAAAAGTAAACATGCGAACATACTATTTTAAAAGTAATTAACAAGATAGAATATAGATAGAATTTTAATAATAGAATTTTAAACATTTATTTTTCACAAAATTTGGATATTTTAAATTATTTTATTTTAAAGTAAAATTTTTGATTTTGAATTTTTTTAAATGTATTTTTTATGTTTATTTTTGTGCTTTCCTGAAGCTTAAACAGTAGACCATTGCACTAGCAATGGCAAGATCAAGTTCATTTTCCAGTGAAATTAACATGCATGAACTGATAAAACCACATTTCTTTGAAAAGAAGCGTCGGCCAAATGCAGAAATAAAGAGAGTAGTAGTTTAGTAGTAGTATAATTGTTTTAAGATATTTCGGGTGTTTGCAACTGCCATTAAATTTGTGGGTCAAATTGACTCGTAATTGAAACAAACATAATTGAAATTTCGTACACGATTGTAAATAATCAGAATTTTGAACTTTTGCAGGCATTTGAAGAAAAACAACATCGGGTCAAATTGACCCGGAACATTATACTCAGGATTATATCATTATAAACCTTTAATTTTATGCAAAACACAAAAAAAGATATTGTGAGGAATGTTTTAACCATACATTGAAAGTCAATGTTAAACCCCACTGTCTTTCACTCTATGGATAAACAAACACAAGAGAAATATAGCTCTCTATATGCACTGCAGAGAGAAAGTCATGCAGGTTCGGAACGACGTGAAAGAGGAATGAATGATGATTTATGGGTGAACTGTCCCTTTAACTCAAGAGGGACAGAGACATGAGCTCGAGTGTAAACGTGATGGAGGTGTACCTTCCCGGTGGTCTCGATGCCCCTCAGACAGCAAACCCACAGCAGAGTCCAGGCACAGAACAGACACAAAACAATCCACCACTGCAGACCTCCAGAGTCCTCGATCACAGGCGTAGTGTTCAGCGTCTTTCTGTACCAGAAATAATCCACCGGAGAACTGCGCTCACATTCAGACACAAACCCTGTTTACAGACACACACGACCAACAGCGTAAGTACACCTAGATTTGTACATTCGTCGTCTTTATGCACTCCAGTTATTTAATCAGGACACAAGTAGCTTTATTGGCATCATAAAAGGCTTTACATTGTCAAAGCATTGATAACATTTAAATTACAGACATTTACACACAATAAAATATAAAATAAATAACAGTAAGAAAAAGGAAAAGGTAAAAACACAATGATTTGTTTTAATTAGTGCTGTCAGACGATTAATCGCGATTAATCGCATCCAAAATAAAAGTTTTTGTTTACATAATATATGTGTGTACTGTGTATATTTATTATGTATATGTACATACACACACATGCATTTATATAAGAAAAATATGTAATATTTGTATATTAAAGGTATTTATATATAATATACATTATATAAATATATACATGTAAATATTTCCGAAATATGTACTGTATGAGTGTGTATTTGTGTATACATAATAAATATACACAGTACACACACATATATATATTATGTAAACAAAAACTTTTATTTTGGATGCGATTAATCGCGATTAATCGTTTGACAGGACTAGTTTTATTACATAAGCATGTTTACACTAATAGATTTTACACTAAGATTATGCAGCTTGCATAGACCTAACAAAAAGATAGTCTTACTCGGTAGTTTTGTCTTGTTTTCCATTACAAATAAAAACAAAACAAACAAACAAAAAAACTTAAATCAAGATACATTTATTTGAAAAGTAAACGATTATTAAGTATTGAAGTATTAAGTATTGTTTTCTAAAAAATGTATCAAAATCTAGATCAAGATATTTTTTCTTGTTTTAAGCATAGACTTAAGATATTAAGTCTTATTTTTTTTTTAAGTAATTGTGCTTCTAATGTAAAAGTGACTTGATTTAAAAATGTTTAGATATTTGGAAAACAAGATAAAAATACTGAATAAGAAAGGCATTTTTACTTTTAATTTAAATATTTTTTGTTTGTTTTGTGTGTAGTCAGGTTACTAAAGAGCCACATGAAGTAACGTCACGATGAATTGACATGAATCCTGGTGGTCTGTACCTGTCCGGTTTTCATTGACGGGACACTGACTCCAGGGTAAAGGGTCCTGAAACGAGTTGAAGAAGTACCACATGACCCAAGCGATGATGGTGTTATAGTACATCCCCACCATGAAGGACACCAGCATGGAGGCGATGCCTGTGAGTGACAAGCACTTTCAGTCACATCATTCATCATAATCACCAGAGAGACTGAAGCTCACGCATACAGAGTTTTAATACTGTAGGTCTGGGATGTATTACTGTTTTACTGGGATCAGGTTTCAAGTAAAAACCATTGGGGTTTTTTTTTTCATGCAATGGTCAATTTTGAGATTTTTGTCTAGTTTGCTTCAATAACATGTCTTCTTCAGACTAATGGAAAGAAAACATCCAATATACACATTTAAGTGTTTATTTTATTGCATTTGATCTATTCACGTATGTAGACTTCTATTACTTACAGATCTTCAAAAGTTTGTTTCTTCACTTCAGCAGCACTTACATACACCAAACTTAGCAGGTTTATACCTGTCTATATTATGAAGATTTTTACTGGGAGGTTTGTTCATATTTAATTCACACCGATTTATACTATGCACAATCAGTTTGTAACACTCCAAAGAGAAAGGAAAACTTGAAATCGCATCATATGACCCCTTTAAAAATGTAATTCCTAAGAAGTTTTTCTGATTTATGGAGTGATAAAATAGAGAAATCCAAAAGCCCCTCTGGAAAAACTCTTAATATGTCAAAAACATCAAAAAAGAATTATACAGATTTTGTTCTGGTAATGTATGCAAAGTAGTACATATTTATTTAGATAATGCCTGAATTTTGAACATAGTATTTCAGAAAACTTTTATTACAAAATAAATGTACTATGATTGATCAACTTGGGCAAGTATGGTGAGATCTTTTAGTTAACATTTTTTACCCTATTTACCTTTAGTGTTTTGCCTTAATACCCACCTACGCCAACTAAATACGGGTTGATGGACCTCCAGACGCCGACGCTGCCCTTCCTCAGTCTTTGACCGATGGCAAACTCCAGATGCAGCAGCGGGACTCCCTCCAGAACCAGGAGAATCAGGAACGGGATCATAAACGCTCCTGAAAATGGGTGAGATCATTTATTTTCAGCAACACAAACTCTTGTTTATTAAATTTTACAGCACACGATTATAATTAAAACAGCATTTTAAATAGTTAACAGAAGTTTTAAAACATTGATGTCTCGAATGTTTCTCTTAAAGATCCTCTTGAGGAATAAAAATAGTAACAAATGAGTCAATAGTTGTCCTACAGTATGAATATAGATAGCAAAAATACTGTAATTGTGCAGCAGCATCTGTTTGCGTCTGTAGATTTCAATTACAATACATCTTTAAAAGTAATTTCCTCAAAATGACTTTATTTTCTCCTGCACTTCAGCAGCACTTACGTACACCAAAACTTACAGTTTTATTCCCATCTATATTCTGAAGGTTTTTACTGTGGGCTTTGTTCATATTTCATTCGCTGGTTTTATTATTGCACTTTATCTATTTACATCTATAGATTTTAATTACAAAATCTTTAAAGGCCATTTTCCTAAAATTAGTTTTTTCTCCACTTCAGCAGCACTTACATACACTAAAACTTACAGTTTTATTCCTATCTATATTCTGAAGGTTTTTACTGTGGGGTTTGTTTATATTTCATTCACTGGTTTTATTATTGTACTTAATCTATTTGCGTTTGTGGATTTCAATTACAATAAATTACTTTAAAGAGTTTGTTTCTGCACTTCAGCAGCAGTTACATACACCAAACTTTACAGTTTTATTCCTATCTATATTCTGAAGGTTTTTACTGTGGGCTTTGTTCATATTTCATTCACTGGTTTTATTATTGTACTTAATCTATTTGCGTTTGTGGATTTCAATTACAATAAATTACTTTAAAGAGTTTGTTTCTGCACTTCAGCAGCAGTTACATACACCAAACTTTACAGTTTTATTCCTATCTATATTCTGAAGGTTTTTACTGTGGGCTTTGTTCATATTTCATTCACTGGTTTTATTATTGCACTTTATCTATTTGTGTCTATATATTTCAATTACAGTATATATTTTTAAAGGCCATTTTCTCAAAATGAGTTTTTCCTCCACTTCAGCAGCACTTACATACACTAAAACTTACAGCTTTATTCCCATCTATATTCTGAAGGGTTTTACTGAGGGGTTTATTCATATTTCATTCACTGGTTTTATTATCTTTGGTTTTGAGACTTTAGTCTTTGCAACTTCAGGGATCTTATCTATGCACAATCAGTTTGTAACACTCCAAAGAGAAAGGAAAACTTGAAATCGCATCATATGACCCCTTTAAAAATGTAATTCCTAAGAAGTTTTTCTGATTTATGGAGTGATAAAATAGAGAAATCCAAAAGCCCCTCTGGAAAAACTCTTAATATGTCAAAAACATCAAAAAAGAATTATACAGATTTTGTTCTGGTAATGTATGCAAAGTAGTACATATTTATTTAGATAATGCCTGAATTTTGAACATAGTATTTCAGAAAACTTTTATTACAAAATAAATGTACTATGCTTGGGCAAGTTGGGCAAGTATGGTGAGATCTTTTAGTTAACATTTTTTACCCTATTTACCTTTAGTGTTTACCCACCTACCCCACCTACGCCAACTAAATACGGGTTGATGGACCTCCAGACGCCGACGCTGCCTTTTCTGAGTCTTTGACCGATGGCAAACTCCAGATGCAGCAGCGGGACTCCCTCCAGAACCAGGAGAATCAGGAACGGGATCATAAACGCTCCTGAAAATGGGTGAGATCATTTATTTTCAGCAACACAAACTCTTGTTTATTAAATTTTACAGCACACGATTATAATTAAAACAGCATTTTAAATAGTTAACAGAAGTTTTAAAACATTGATGTCTCGAATGTTTCTCTTAAAGATCCTCTTGAGGAATAAAAATAGTAACAAATGAGTCAATAGTTGTCCTACAGTATGAATATAGATAGCAAAAATACTGTAATTGTGCAGCAGCATCTGTTTGCGTCTGTAGATTTCAATTACAATACATCTTTAAAAGTAATTTCCTCAAAATGACTTTATTTTCTCCTGCACTTCAGCAGCACTTACGTACACCAAAACTTACAGTTTTATTCCCATCTATATTCTGAAGGTTTTTACTGTGGGCTTTGTTCATATTTCATTCGCTGGTTTTATTATTGCACTTTATCTATTTACATCTATAGATTTTAATTACAAAATCTTTAAAGGCCATTTTCCTAAAATTAGTTTTTTCTCCACTTCAGCAGCACTTACATACACTAAAACTTACAGTTTTATTCCTATCTATATTCTGAAGGTTTTTACTGTGGGCTTTGTTCATATTTCATTCGCTGGTTTTATTATTGCACTTTATCTATTTACATCTATAGATTTTAATTACAAAATCTTTAAAGGCCATTTTCCTAAAATTAGTTTTTTCTCCACTTCAGCAGCACTTACATACACTAAAACTTACAGTTTTATTCCCATCTATATTCTGAAGGTTTTTACTGTGGGGTTTGTTTATATTTCATTCACTGGTTTTATTATTGTACTTAATCTATTTGCGTTTGTGGATTTCAATTACAATAAATTACTTTAAAGAGTTTGTTTCTGCACTTCAGCAGCAGTTACATACACCAAACTTTACAGTTTTATTCCTATCTATATTCTGAAGGTTTTTACTGTGGGCTTTGTTCATATTTCATTCACTGGTTTTATTATTGCACTTTATCTATTTGTGTCTATATATTTCAATTACAGTATATATTTTTAAAGGCCATTTTCTCAAAATGAGTTTTTCCTCCACTTCAGCAGCACTTACATACACTAAAACTTACAGTTTTATTGCCATCTTCATTCTGAAGGTTTTTACTGAGGGTTTTTTTCATACATCATTTGCCTGGTTTTATTATTGCACTTTATCTATTTGAATCTGTAGATTTCTATTACAATACATTTCCTTAAAGAGTTTGTTTCTCCACTTCAGCAGCACTTACATACACCACCCTCAGCAGTTTTATTCCTATCTATATTCTTAAGGTTTTTACTGATGGGTTTGTTTATATATCATTCACATTGATTTATATAACATTTTATTTTAAATAATTTTACAACCGTTTTAAAACATTTTAAACCATTAAATTGTGACATTAAATAGAACCTAATTTAATTTTTCTGTCCATGGTACTATATTACATTAATTATTGTGTAGATAATAATATACTGTACATTTAAGTGCTCTTAATCATTCAGAACTGTTTCCCGCAGTATTTTGCAGTGTCATAATGTAACAGCTGTTTTGGAAACAAAGTGATGTCAGCAAATATCAGCTTCTTTATCTGAGTGTTTGACTCTCTGCATGTGGCCCCTTATCAGCCCAAAGCTTCGAAAGTCCACATGATGATAGCCTGAGGTGAAGATGAAGATGATAGGTGAAAGGGCGCTTTAGGAAAACGAGAGGTATACGCCTGATGCACATTTACTCCAATGAAGAAACTGCTCTGTCACTTCACGCAGGATCATTATGAAACTGTTCTTGTGGAATATTCGAATGCTCAGATGTTGCTCTTTCATAGCTCTTTGTTACTTTGTTTCATTGATGTGTCAGATAATTCTCCTAACAAATCCTCAGGAGAAATGAAAGTAGATATAAAATGAATGTGGAGCACCTCAGGTCATTTGATGAGAAATGTTTGATATCATGTTAAAATCTGACTTTTAATCGCAGACTTTAGTTTTTATGCAAATCTGAGCACAGTTTGAGACATTGTTGAGATCTCTTCTGAAACTCCAGTCCTTATATTATGTTCCTCATCGATATGTGAGTTGTCGGAAATACTCGATAACCTATGATGTTTTTCTGTAATGTTTTTAATGTTAATGTTTTCTTTGTTTTTGTTACTTTTTCTCATTTAGGGTCATGGAAATGCTTTAAAAATTTAGACACTGGAATGTGTGTACAAAATTACGATTATGATGTTTGCAGGGATTTTTTTTGTATTTTGTTGTGTACCTTCTGAGGGTATTTACACTTATGTTTATGCATATGAATATGAATTACGTTTATGCATTATTCAACTGAACCCATGATTTTGGCTCTTCTTGAGCTTCAGCAAAGCACTTAAAAAAAGCGCTTTTCTACACTTTAAAAAAAAAAAAAAATATATATATTAAAAAGTACCTAAAATGCTGTTCATAATATTAATAATTATTTTAAAAAATATTTGTTATATGCACTGTAAAAAAAACATTTTTCAAAGTTGGAGTGTGTTCAAGAAAATACTAAAAAATTTACAATTTCACAATTACAGTTACTTGCAGTGTCTTTTTAATTATTTGTCAAATTTACTAGTAATTTCTAAGTGAAAATTAAATTCATGTTCTCATGTTTGGGAATTTTTAATGTTAAAGTTTTACTCCTTTTAAGTTATATTTATACTGCAATGTGATTTTCTTTCTTTTTTTTTTTTTGAATTGTATTGAATCCAATTAGGGTCAGTTTGACCCACACCATAAAAATCGTACATTTTCTGAATGGAAACTTCCATCCCATTTTAATAGCATAGTAAATCTCGGCTTCATTCACAGTGGACTGTTGCTCTGCTGATGTTGAATTAATGTTTAACTATAATCGTTTTAAGTGGCTGCTTTCAGCCCGTTATAAGACCATTTGTGGTTTTATAAGAGAGTTTATAGTGATCTTTCTGTGGTTGTATCACATGCGTATGAAAATAACACAGAATTACAATCACTTTTGTCTTCAATCTTAAAACACAGTGGCATTAATTGGTTGTGCAATTTGATTATTCTCAGAAACTGTTTTGGACAAATCACTTTTAATATATTTCCAAAATTTACATTCTCCAAAAAAAAAAAAAAAAAAACAACCTACAAAATATTGTAATGCACTGCTTCTAAATGAGCGAAATCATAAAACACTTTATTGACACTTATAAATTTCTGAATGTCATTATATTAGATATACATCAAACCAAGTGTCATTCATAGTAAATAAAGATGCACAAACACACTTTATATTAGTGATAAACAGACATTTGCACTGATAAGAGATACTATGTGGGTTTGTTAGTGAATGATGTTGATAAATTTAAGATTAATGTATTTGAATTGCATAAAAAATAATCAACTTAATGTAATGCATATTTGTCAGTCATACATAAATGAAACCGGTCAGATTTCTGTAATATGTGACCCTGGAGCACAAAAGCAGTCTTAAGTCGCTGGGGTATATTTGTAGCAATAGCCAACAATACATTGTATGGGTCAAAATTATAGATTTCTATTTTAAGCCAAAAATCATTAGGAAATTTATTCAGCTTTCAGAGGATGTATAAATCTCAATTTTAAAAAAAATTTACCCTTATGACTGGTTTTGTGCTCCAGAGTCACATATTACTAATAAACAGAATGTGTTTTAAATATACAATAAACAGGTTTATATATATTTATCATCAATAAATTCCGCTTTGTTTCGATCTCATACATTTGAGCTAATTGAATATTGCCAACTTTAACCATATTGAGCAAAATAAATTTTTTGAAATGAACAAATGTATGCAGATTCTAAGCAGTTAGAATAAATGCATACTGCATTGGCATGAATTTTGCGTGCAGAAATCTTGCATTTCTTTTATGTATGACTGACAAATATGCATCACATTTATTGGTTTATGTTAAAACTGTTTCATCCAAATGCACAAATATTTTAAATGCACTTCAAATACATAAAATGCGTAAGATCCTGCAGATGCAGACTGTTGGTCTGATGTTGTGAATGTGACTTTGGTGTGTTGTTTCTCAGCCTCACCTCCTCCGTGGCTCTGGCAGAGGTACGGGAACCTCCAGACGTTCCCCAGCCCCACGCAGAAGCCCACGCAGGTCAGCATGTACTGGGCTTTGTTGTCCCACTGCGGCCGCTCTCCAGCCTCCTCCAGCTCCAGCTTCTCCAGCTCGGCGTGAGACGGGATCCGCTCGTCCAGACCTGGGTTCGGGAGCTTCAGCTTCAGCTTCATGTCTGCTGCGTTGGGTTTGTCCACAGAGAGGGGTGAGAAGAGAAGAGATGGAGTGATGGCAGGAGATGTCAATAAATACTGACTCCAACATGCACATGCTGACCTTTAGCACTGACATCTCCTCCCATATCCACACACTCTCACTCTCTCTCTTTCTCTCTCACAAACACACACACACACAGAGAGAGAGAGAAAAGTTCTGTGTCAGTATGACGCATTAAATTAATCAAAAGTGACAGTAAAGACATTTATAATGTTACAAAAGGTTTCTATTTCAAATAAATGCTGCTCTTTTGAACTATATATTCATCTGTGAATCCTGAAAAATAAAATGCATCACAGTTTCCACAAAAATATTGGACAGCACAACAGTTTTCAACATTGATAATAATCAGAAATGTTAATTTATTTTCCAAAAAATAAAAATTATACTGACTCTAAGCTTTTGAATGGTATAGTTTATAATGTTACAAAAGCTTTTTACTTCACATAAATGCTGATCTTTGGATCCTTCTATTCTTTAAAAAATCCTGAAAAAAATTTACTCCACTGTTTTCAACATTGATAATAATCAGAAATGTTTCTTAAATCAGCATATTAGAATGATTTCTGAAGATCATGTGACACTGAAGACTGGAGTAATGATGCTGAAAATACAGCTTTGATCACAGAAATAAATTACATTTTAACAGATATTCACATAGAAAACAGGTGTTTGAAATCATAATATTTCACTGTTTGTACTGGGTTTTTGACCAAATAAATGCAACTTTGAAGTTTTGTATATCAGCAACGCTTTACAATCAGGGGCGGACTTACCCATTAGGCAAAGGTAGGTGACCGCCTTGGGCTCCCAAAAGCCAAGGGCCCCCTAAAATGCTTATCATATAGGAGATGCGCATTAAGCACTGACACGCTAACGGTTGCTGATTACGTGTTTATTACCACGACAACCGTCCGAGTCAGGGCAAAGGTAGGCGACCGCCTTGGGCCCCCAAAAGCCAAGGGCCCCCTAAAATGCTTTTCATATAGGATATGCGCATTAAGCGCTGACACGCGAACGGTTGCTGTTTACGGTGTTTATTACAACGACAACCGTCCGAGTCCGTGGCGCCTGCAGGTGTACGGCTGGCACTGTGAGTACCATGAGCGCTCAGACTGACCTCAGATTTGCCCCGCAAACATTTCAGCAGTTATTATAGGCCTGTGTGTCCCGTATGTCCAGTGAACCAGCCATTCCATTAATTATTAATTTTTCAGTCTTTTCCATGCCAAAGTCAATTTCTGCATAGCAATATTACACCAAATAGAAGCAGAAAATCGTGCTATACGCACTTTCATGAGATCGGGTTAGCCTACAACAATTCATTTGTTGGCTATTTTACAAATGGGAAAACAACGAATTCATGACATAGCCTACAACAATTAATTTGTTGGCTATTTTTCAAATGGGAATACAACGAATTCATGACAATGTTTTACATTCAAGCTACCCGTAAAATTTATAGTGAAAAGTACTTTAAAAGCGTCTGGAATGCAATAAAGTAATTTTAAAGCATTTGCTGTATGGATAAAAAAATAGGCTAATAAATAATTCACATATCATACAAAATTGCGTTGCAGCAAATCCTTTAAATTTTATGATATTCGGAACACAGCAACATAAAAATATAAAAAAACAGAAAATATAAGCAGCTATAGGCTAGAATTATAGGACAAAGTTTTACATATATGCCATTATAATTTGTGTTTTATTATTCAATTGCATATACGGAATTATAAAATAAAACGCAAATTATAACCGGGCATTCCATCAATTATAGTGATGAAAAAATGACTCGCCATCTCCTAATTGGATGTGCCTTTAGAGAGAAATGCACGGATTACATAATGAAAGAGTTTATTTTATTAGGAGTCTATTTTCGATTTGAATTATTTCGTTTTAAAGTAGTAATTTAAAACTTTCTATATTTTGATCATGTCTGAGTTTAGGTTCATCATTGTGAAGCGCTCCTGTTCAAGCCCGAGACGGCAGAAAGCGTTTGTTTTCTTTATTTTATAAAAGCACAACGTTTTGTTGATATTGTGAGTGCACACAAATAAAACTAGACCCTTTACAATTTAGAATGATGTATTACTCTTACCTTTATGAGCAAAAATGACTGCGTATTTTAAGTTGCTTCCACTATAAGAAAAAAATGCAAGTGATGGCTCTGGCACCTCCATGTGCTGCAGAGCGTGCTTCAGCTTCAACGCTCCGCAAAAACGATTGGATATGCGTCTAACAGCGCACATTTATCTAGGTTAAGCATTTAAACTAACACTGTGATATGCTTTAACTGTTTTATATCTATAGATTTTATTTTAGGCAAGTCGTGATGATTTGAGAAGGCTAAATATACTAAAACTAAATATAATCACTTTTTCATTACATACAAAACTGAACTATTTTAATAGCTGAAACAGTAGTATAAGCTAAGCTTTTTTTGGGAAAAGGGGAACTGTTTTTTTCTCATCTGTGAGCATGCTCTTGATATATGTATTTTACCATTTTGTTGAGTTTACACATTCGTTCTGCTCTCACTGATCATTTGGATCATTAGGTGTAGGCTATAATTGTCTTTTCATTATTTTTTCAGTTTTATTTAAATTTGTAGTTAAAATAACTAAAAATAAATGTATTTTAAAGTTTAGAATTAGACAGCCTTTGCACACAGCTTACGCTGGTAACTCATCAGTGGACTTTCCTCGTCAATACAGGCTATATTTTTTCACACTTTTCTCATTCTATATTTCTGACGTTCCAAAAGCGCCTCCTACTGGCAGAGAATGAATGTTCATTTTCAATAATCCAGTCTGTAGTTTTTGTTCAGATCAATGAGAAAATTCACCCATAACCCCGTTTTAAATTAATATAATAATTTATACTTCTGACTCACCCCTGGTTTAAACGCTCAATTGTGAGGTTTATCATTTTATAATGTATTTTGTTTTTGTGAAAACCTGTATCTCAACTGATAATCAGTTGCTATTTCGTGCTCTACAAAATGAAAGAAAGCCATTATAACGTGTACATGAACCAGGCTGCACTACCCCCTGTCGTGCTGCAAGCGGCAATTTCCCCTGTGCGTCTCAGCACGTAAAAGAGCATTTGCCTGAAAGAGCTTATTTCTCTAAAAGAGCTTACACGGGTGCGTCTTTGTAAAGACAATGGATTGTCTTTTTAAAGATGATCAGGTTCTGTTACCTCCAGGACGGCGGAGCTCCGTTGCCTCTGCCGCGATCTAGTGTTTGTCCTGGCGGCAGCCAGGTGAGGACTACTTCGGGCAGTAGCATGGGCGGTCTGAGGGTTACAGTGGTGGCAAACCCCTCAGGGAACCAACCCTCGGGGGACCATCGCTCCTCTAGCGCTTCGCAACCAGTTGAGCCACCAAAGGAACTCGCTGGGCCCTCTTCAAAGAGCATACCAGCGGTATCCCTCGGTGCTCCTCCCGACGACCGGATGTCGATCACTGCATCGGAGGAAGAGCTCTCTGGAGAGGAAGATTCGGCTGCACTGCTGCCCTCCAGCATGGTGGCAAGGCCTGAATCGGATCCGGAAATGTCGGCTATGCTTTCCCGGGCCGCTGAGAGGGTAGGGCTCGAGTGGAAACCTCCACTGCGTCCCGAGCCCTCGAGGTTGGACGATTGGTTTCTCGGGGTGGATCACACTGGTTCTCAGCGCCCCGCCCCAGTGCCTTTCTTCCTGGAGATGCAGGAGGAGCTCACCAGGTCATGGACGGCACATTTTACTTCCAGAAACAGACCTGCTGGTTCCTCCTCCCTCACCACTAGGGTTGTGACGGCGAGGAAATTTTCCCACCGGTTAATCGACGTGTGACAACACCGGTAATACCGGTATCACCCGGTGTGGGGTGTGGTGGGGGGGGTGTTAGTTCATTTGAGTTTCCCTCTTTTCTTCGCTTTCAAATGACTTGTAAAAGTGCCGTGCACATTTTACTTTCACTTTCAAATTAGCGGAATAAATAAGAAACGAATGTTTAAAAAAACTTCCAGTCAATAGGCTTTTCAAAATCTAAAATATTGCCAAACAGGCGCCTTTGCATTTCCTTTCTAAACAATCTTCTGCCATCGTGCAACTGAACTAGGCTAAATGATTTTTGTTACTATAAAAAAATCAAAACGACGGCAAATGACGTAACCGGTGTTGCGGCTTAACACCGGCCTAACCGAAAACACCGTCTATCGCGGCAAGCCTACTCACCACCCTCGATGGCGGTGCAGCTAGGGTGTATACGGTGATCCCCCCAGTGGAGCGGTCGGTAGCGACGCAGTTGTGTCCTAAGACCGCCTCCTCCTGGCGGGGAAACCCTTTGCTCTCCTCCCGGGCCTGTATGCATTCGTCTGGTCTGACTGGCGGTGCTTATAGGGCTTGTGGAGAAGCTGCCTCCGCCTTTCACGCTATGGCGTTACTGCAGGTTCATCAGGCCAAGGCACTGAGGGACCTGCACGAGGGTGGTCACGATCTGGAAGTTCTGAAAGAGC